GTATAGAGCGTGGGTATAGAGCGTGGGTATAAAATGTGTGTTTAGAGCGTGGGTATAGAGCCTGGGTATAGAATGTGTGTTTAGAGCGTGGGTATAGAACGTGGGTATAGAGCGTGGGTATAGAGCGTGGGTATAAAATGTGTGTTTAGAGCGTGGGTATAGAGCGTGGGTATAAAATGTGTGTTTAGAGCGTGGGTATAGAGCGTGGGTATAAAATGTGTGTTTAGAGCGTGGGTATAGAGCGTGGGTATAAAATGTGTGTTTAGAGCGTGGGTATAGAGCGTGGGTATAGAACGTGGGTATAGAGCGTGGGTATAAAATGTGTGTTTAGAGCGTGGGTATAGAGCGTGGGTATAGCGCCTGGGTATAGAGCGTGGGTATAGAACGTGGGTATAGAGCCTGGGTATAGAATGTGGGTATAGAGCCTGTGTATAGAGCCTGGGTATAGAGCGTGGGTATAGAGCATGGGTATAGAGCCTGGGTATAGAGCGTGGGTATAGAGCGTGGGTATAGAGCCTGGGTATAGAGCCTGGGTATAGAGCGTGGGTATAGAGCCTGGGTATAGAGCGTGGGTATAGAGCGTGGGTATAGAGCCTGGGTATAGAGCGTGGGTATAGAGCGTGGGTATAGAGCCTGGGTATAGAGCATGGGTATAGAGCCTGGGTATAGAGCGTGGGTATAGAGCCTGGGTATAGAATGTGGGTATAGAGCCTGGGTATAGAGCCTGGGTATAGAGCGTGGGTATAGAGCCTGGGTATAGAGCCTGGGTATAGAACGTGGGTATAGAGCCTGGGTATAGAGCCTAAATATAGAGTGTGGGTATAGCGCCTGGGTATAGAGCCTGGGTATAGAGTGTGGGTATAGAGCGTGGGTATAGAGCCTGGCTATAGAGCGTGGGTATAGAGCCTGGGTATAGAGCCTGGGTATAGAGCCTAAATATAGAGTGTGGGTATAGCGCCTGGGTATAGAGTGTGGGTATAGAGCGTGGGTATAGAGCGTGGGTATAGAGCGTGGGTATATAGCGTGGGTATATAGCGTGGGTATAGAGCCTGGGTATATAGCGTGGGTAAAAAAAGCATGTTCCCTCATGTATCCTGACATAAATGCACCCTGCCAATAGCATCGTTGTGTTTCCATTTGCATTGGAACAGGGAGTTCTATGTCACCATGGTGAAATGGGCGACAACCACCAAACTGGCAGTGAACTGGTTGAACAGAGCCCAGAACATCTCCATGCTCACGCTGTGTGAGACCACCACAGGAGTCTGCTCCAAGGTAGACGCATGTGGGGGTGTACGGGCGTGTTTAGCTACACGCTACACACACACACACACACACACACACACAAGTTCTAATTTCAGGACATGGATGTGCTTATCTAACGGTTTTCTTCCGAAATGTGTGTTTCTATAGAAACACGAGGACGAGAGTGAAGGTTGGCTACACAGACAGGTAAGCGGTGAACACACAGGCCTGGGTTCCTTTTTGACGCTGGTCATCTTTTTGAACAGCGCTACAGATCGGAATGACACTTCGTAATCTCTCACTGTGTTACGAATACATTTACACAAATTTGTGACAGAACGAAGAGCCGCTGTTCTCCAAAGACGGTCTGAAGTTGTTCTTCACCAGGGCAATTCCACAGGGAGGCAGGGGCAAGTTCTTCCATATCTCCATGTCCATCACTCAGGTACAACGTCCACAGAATAGATTAAGCACGACACCCACTCCTCTGTAATAGCTTCCATCACCAGAAGCACAGAATTCAGGCGCTTGATTCAGCTAAGAAGGGCTAAAACGACATCAAGACAAAATGATATTTTTAACATGCAATTGTATGTGTGGTTGTTTCTCCCCTCTCCAGCCCAACACCAGTACAGACACACTGCAGTCCATCACATCTGGGGACTGGGATGTCACCCAGGTCTTAGCCTACGATGAAGATAGCCAGTTAATGTGAGCTCCCTGACACAGCTTGGCAACTCACACACACACACTCACACACACACACAGTGAGAATCTCCTCTATTTGTTAAGGACAGTCACACATACATGTACACAGACCTGTAGTTAGTGTTAAGGACAGTCACACATACATGTACACAGACCTGTAGTTAGTGTTAAGGACAGTCACACATACATGTACACAGACCTGTAGTTAGTGTTAAGGACAGTCACACATACATGTACACAGACCTGTAGTTAGTGTTAAGGACAGTCACACATACATGTACACAGACCTGTAGTTAGTTTTAAGGACAGTCACACATACATGTACACAGACCTGTAGTTAGTGTTAAGGACAGTCACACATACATGTACAAAGACCTGTAGTTAGTGTTAAGGACAGTTACACATACATGTACACAGACCTGTAGTTAGTGTTAAGGACAGTCACACATACATGTACTCAGACCTGTAGTTAGTGTTAAGGACAGTCACACATACATGTACACAGACCTGTAGTTAGTGTTAAGGACAGTCACACATACATGTACACAGACCTGTAGTTAGTGTTAAGGACAGTCACACATACATGTACTCAGACCTGTAGTTAGTGTTACAGTCACACATACATGTACACAGACCTGTAGTTAGTGTTAAGGACAGTCACACATACATGTACTCAGACCTGTAGTTAGTGTTAAGGACAGTCACACATACATGTACTCAGACCTGTAGTTAGTGTTAAGGACAGTCACACATACATGTACTCAGACCTGTAGTTAGTGTTAAGGACAGTCACACATACATGTACTCAGACCTGTAGTTAGTGTTAAGGACAGTCACACATACATGTACTCAGACCTGTAGTTAGTGTTAAGGACAGTCACACATACATGTACACAGACCTGTAGTTAGTGTTAAGGACAGTCACACATACATGTACACAGACCTGTAGTTAGTGTTAAGGACAGTCACACATACATGTACAAAGACCTGTAGTTAGTGTTAAGGACAGTCACACATACATGTACTCAGACCTGTAGTTAGTGTTAAGGACAGTTACACATACATGTACTCAGACCTGTAGTTAGTGTTAAGGACAGTTACACATACATGTTTCACTTTATAGACTTTGGTTCTGTCTTGAGTTACACTGCCGCTCAAACGTTTGGGGTGTTGTGTGCACATGTGAGCTTGGTTGGAAATATGTACGAAGTGATTAAAATACAACGTCATTAATAACCAACGTCAAATGTTAATTATTATTTATCTTGCAGATATTTCTTGAGCACCGAGGATGACCCAAAACGAAGGCACCTCTACAGGTAAACAGAATATCTGTCCATCAGGCTGTGCTCCAGTGCCGAGCCTTGTTCTGTTGCTCTCAGTCTGGTTCCCTCACAGAACCGAGCTTGTGTTCTGTCTGTAGCGCCGACACGGTGGGACCCTTCAACCGGCGCTGTCTCTCCTGTGACTTCTACGAAGGCTGCGGCTACGTCAGCAGCTCCTTCAGCTACGACATGAGCCTCTTCCTCCTCAGCTGTAAAGGTGGGAGACATCGTTTTGGCGTCCCCACGTGGAGCTATTTACATTCTCTCAGTCATATGAACCCCCGTTCTCACACTTCTGAATAGACGCCACACATAGAGGCGAACTGAATTCAGGGTTGGCCGCAAATAACGTGTGCAGTATTTCATCCAAGGCCCTACTCGTTTGGTGTCCTCTCACTGAACTCATTGGAGCACCACACAGCTAAATCCACCCGTTTACTGAGTACGCCTCTAGCTCATACACTTTTAATCTCCCTGTCCCCTCTCGCCCTTTTCATTTGTTTGACGGGATAGCGATATCATTACAGCGCTGGGAGAGATTGCCTGGTTGGCCGCTGATGCACGAATGCTTGTTTCTAGCGTGTTCCCAATCTGCTAAGTGCATCGATCATTTCATTATGTCTCCCTTCCGAACGCAGGGCTGTAGTTCTGAAGACTGAGTTGGTGTGTGTTTTTACCCGGGGGGGGTTGTTCGTTTGGAAGTCAGCTTTTGAACAAGGCAGTAGCTTTTCGGATTGCGTAACAAATTGAATAAACGAACAATAGCCACCCCAACAATAGCAATAGTCATGGGTGCTCCTTTTGTGCTTGTGTATAAAAAAATATCAACAAAACTTTTTGTGCAGGTCGATTCACTCCTCCGCAAGCTGACATCAGGCTTTCGGACTTTGATCGATTATGTTTTAATGTTGCGTCAGGACATTTGACACAGTGTTAGTCTTGCAACATAATCAATAATAATAATAATTAACATCTTCCTATGGACACTTGTGAGAGCACCGATAACAGGGCTGTTTTAATTGTCTCATTATTTGGTTTTCAGATACGTTAGGGAAAAGATCGGTGTGAGTGTGAGCTATCAAAAGCCAATTATTTGGAAAAATATCTGAATCAGGATGCCTTTTTAAACCAGCTGAGGAGTCACAGCACGTACCCATGAAGCTAGACATCTGTCCCCACAATGCTAATGGGTACATAACATGGTGCCTAATATTTGCCTCATTTAGTCATCTCTGTTCCTGTTCTGTTGTCTCTTAGGGCCTGATGTTCCCTTTGAAGCAGTGTACAACACACTGGACAGACTGAGTGAGTAGTCGACTTCAGATTCTGTGAAATTATTAAAACACATTCTTCCTCTCAATAGCAAACAAATCCTGCAGACACTTGTTATTTCATTCGTAATGCCCCCCCCCAGCAACAGCGCAACCTCTTTAGATAGGGTCAACATGCTAACACCATTGACATCACAACAAGTCAACAGGCTTTTTGCTGAGTCATTGTGTATCCTCGATCGTGTCTGTTGGCAGCTATCTGATTACATTAGCTAGCACAGCAGGATGGATGTCCTCGGAAAAAATACATGACCTTTCCACTGTAATGAAAATCTCACGCTGTCATTTAACTGTTGACTGTAGCGTATGCAGTTAGTTATTGGACAATCCATAACAACGTGTTGAAAGTCTACAGTGTAGCCTACCATGCACACATGCTTACCTACTGTTAGGAGTTGGTAGCTCAGTGTAGTGGTAGAGTGCATGTCTATTTATGAGGTCCTGGGTTCAATCCCCAGGTGCTCCCCAGGTCGCTGTTGCAAATTTGTCTCCTTCATAGTGTATATTGCTGTTTTGTCTTCTTCATAGTGTATATTGCTGTTTTGTCTTCTTCATTGTGTATCTTGCTGTTTTGTCTTCTTCATAGTGCATCTTGCTGTTTTGTCTTCTTCATAGTGCATCTTGCTGTTTTGTCTTCTTCATAGTGCATCTTGCTGTTTTGTCTTCTTCATTGTGTATCTTGCTGTTTTGTCTTCTTCATAGTGCATCTTGCTGTTTTGTCTTCTTCATAGTGCATCTTGCTGTTTTGTCTTCTTCATAGTGCATCTTGCTGTTTTGTCTTCTTCATAGTGCATCTTGCTGTTTTGTCTTCTTCATAGTGCATCTTGCTGTTTTGTCTTCTTCATAGTGCATCTTGCTGTTTTGTCTTCTTCATAGTGCATCTTGCTGTTTTGTCTTCTTCATAGTGCATCTTGCTGTTTTGTCTTCTTCATAGTGCATCTTGCTGTTTTGTCTTCTTCATAGTGCATCTTGCTGTTTTGTCTTCTTCATAGTGCATCTTGCTGTTTTGTCTTCTTCATAGTGCATCTTGCTGTTTTGTCTTCTTCATAGTGTATGTTGCTGTTTTGTCTTCTTCATAGTGCATCTTGCTGTTTTGTCTTCTTCATAGTGCATCTTGCTGTTTTGTCTTCTTCATAGTGCATCTTGCTGTTTTGTCTTCTTCATAGTGTATGTTGCTGTTTTGTCTTCTTCATAGTGCATCTTGCTGTTTTGTCTTCTTCATAGTGCATCTTGCTGTTTTGTCTTCTTCATTGTGTGTCCGGATTGATGGTCTTTGCCTTGGATTTATTCTCCTTTGTTCTCTTCGCTTGTCTACTGTTGTTAAGCACTTCAAGTTACGACCTTAGCGTCGTCGCACAACCCCCAACAGGATATTGTTTAAGCACCTGCAATGCATGCCCTTTGACCCCGGTAGCCATAGCAACCTCAGCCATTCTATTTCTATCTCTGCAGAGGTGTTTGACCTGGAGACCAATGAGGATCTGAGAGCGAGACTGGACTCCATACAGATGCCCAGAGAGGAATACAAGGAGATCACCATCGAGGATTACAGTATGTCATGCTTCAGACGAGCATTTTATGGATCTGATGATGATTGTCTTGTGCCTCTGTACAGTATGAGTACTGATGACTCTCTCTTGCTTGTTTTGTAGCGCTAACAATGCAGATCCTCAAACCTGCCAGCTTTGTCGACACGTCACATTATCCCCTGCTCCTCCTCGTGTGAGTATGCAAACATTTAACGCACACACGCAAAGACATGCACACTTCTGCTCTAGTAAACTGTACACCGAAGAGATCTATCTGCGCACCCCAGTATCACACCATCTCCCCAGTATCACACCATCTCCCCAGTATCACACCATCTCCCCAGTATCACACCATCTCCCCAGTATCACACCATCTCCCCAGTATCTCCCCAGTATCCCACCATCTCCCCAGTATCACACCATCTCCCCAGTATCACACCATCTCCCCAGTATCACACCATCTCCCCAGTATCTCCCCAGTATCACACCATCTCCCCAGTATCTCCCCAGTATCACACCATCTCCCCAGTATCACACCATCTCCCCAGTATCCCACCATCTCCCCATTATCACACCATCTCCCCAGTATCTCCCCAGTATCACACCATCTCCCCAGTATCCCACCATCTCCCCATTATCACACCATCTCCCCAGTATCTCCCCAGTATCACACCATCTCCCCATTATCACACCACCTCCCCAGTATCTCCCCAGTATCACACCATCTCCCATCATCTCACTCCCTAGACGTGACAACAGGTTAGAGAAACATGCCGCCGGTCTCAACCCTTTAGTTCTGTCTACCTCGCCCACCTGTTTGCTGTGTGAGAAATTACATGTATGCACACATTGGATACAAACGAGGGTTAACGACATATTTTAATGCCCTCTCGTCTCCAGTGACGGCACTCCCGGTGGTCAGGCGGTGTCAGAGCAGTTCCACATAGACTGGGCCACGGTGCTGGTGAGCAGCTTCGGGGTCATGGTAGTACGCTTTGACGGCCGAGGAACCGGCTTCCAGGGGACCAACCTGTTGCATCGTGTCCAGAGAAAGCTGGGTGTGTTGGAGGAGCGAGATCAACTGGCAGCCCTCAGGTAGGGACTGTCCAGCTGACCTGAGTCCCAGCACTCCACTATCCTCCACATGTTCAGGCTTACGTTTCAAATCATTGGACTGGTGTGAGACTTGGAGGGGTTTCCATTATTTATAGATCCGTGTTGGGAAGTGTGCAAGTTTAAACTGACTCTGCAGCATTGGACCTGATACTGTAAAGCTGCCAATAGGTATTGGCAAGATAAATATGTATTGGCAGCTTTTATTTTATCAATCGGTGTACCTTATCTGATCAGATGTGGGGTTTTCTCATTTTTGCTCATATTATAATCATGTTTTATTCTAGACTGGTGCTTAAGAGCTATATCTTTAAGGCAGCCGGGATCAGTTTTTTTCTGGTATGAGTTAATGAAAAATGTCATTTCCTACATTTCAGTATTATATCGAAAGAGCCTTACGTTGACAAGACGCGGATTGGAGCTTATGGCAAGGTAAGACACGTTTATTCATGATGATTAGGTTACCTGATTGCATTTCCTGTCTAAATTGGAAAGTTCCCCCGATGAATCCACAGTATTGACCGCTGTCTAACTGTAAAACCTGTTTTACTGTGCTAATCCCACGTTTGTGTACTATAGAAATCACCTAAGAGGGTGTTGGGATTTCTGCCTACTTAAACATACTGGGGGTGTTGTTTTAAACGGCTAGCTACTCTCGGCAACCACTGGGCCGGCTACAGTTGATGCTGAGCTGTGTAGTTTTATTGGGAGTACATGGCTAGAATCTCTAATAGACATGTCAAATCAGCACAAACAGATCTGGGGCCAAGCCAGTGATCTATTTCCCTTCAAGCAGCACTTTTTTAAATTAATCTGAAGTGAACCTGTATGGTATCTCGCCATGCATGGTGCAGAATCGCCTAATATTGATGTAGAATTTCTGGTGACAATTTTCCTGTCTGTCTGTTAGGTGTATGGAGGCTACGTGACCAGCTTGCTACTCAGCGCTGAGGATTCCCTGGTGAAATGTGGTGCAGTCCTCTCCCCCATCACAGAGTTTGAGCTATATGGTAAAGTGTGAGCGCGTGCCACTCATTAGCTAACACTATGGCACCAGACAGATGCCCTGCCACCCTAACACTATGGCACCAGACAGATGCCCTGTCACCCTAACACTATGGCACCAGACAGACAGCCCTGCCACCCTAACACTATGGCACCAGACAGATGCCCTGTCACCCTAACACTATGGCACCAGACAGACAGCCCTGCCACCCTAACACTATGGCACCAGACAGATGCTCTGTCACCCTAACACTATGGCACCAGACAGATGCTCTGCCAGGGTTTATCACATCACTATCTTACCTTGGTATCGTCATCACCTCAGATAACGTGGGTGTGACCTTCTGAAGTGTGTTTTTGTGATATATTATGTGCTTGAGAGACAGTGAGCAAAAACAACAGCAAGCAACTTTTTAAGTTAAAGTCCAGTAACACTTTGGAGGCAAATGTGCATGGAAGCATTTCTACCTAGCCACCTTGACTACGTCAATCCATGACCTCTTTGATCCAAGAGTTTCTGGACAGGGTGAAAAGCATTGTACAGTGACAGATGTGCGACAAGGTTTGCGTGCTCATCAGAGTAATTCTAATCTGAGTTGGAATACACTGTTGCCTGGACATTGCTTAATCTGTCTCAAGATCTAACTAGGAAAGTGAGGTCTCAGAACAACAGTCTCTGTAGATATGGGAGTGATATAATTCCCTCTTCTATTCCAGCTTCAGCGTTTTCAGAAAGATACCTGGGACTGCCCAAGCCTGACCCAAGAGCATATGCGGTATGACTTCCTGTTTCAGATGTCACTTAGACAGCCAGTGTTTTTCCTCTTGGTTAGTTCCATAATATCATATATGTTATTGATATGTTATGTCTCCGCAGATGGCAAATCTGGCACACAGGGCCTCTCAGTTCCTAGACAAGAAGTTTCTGATTGTTCATCCGACAGCAGATGGTAAGAGAGTATTAAAATCGAACCTGTCCGCAGTCGAATCCTTTGTTTTGAACGATAAGATGGTCTGTGTTTTTTTCCCCCGCTGTACTAGAAAAAGTACACTTCCAGCACACAGCAAAATTCATCACGCAGCTGATCAATGAAAAGGCCAACTACACTCTGCAGGTGAGGACATGAAGGCACCTCCCCGAAATTTCACACATAACTGGTTGTCTGACATTTATGACGCCTATGAATAATGTTGGAGAATTTAACTCCCAAATCCCAGGGAAAATACTAAAACCCCAGGAAAAATACTAAAGGCGATTTGACTTAAGAGTTTGCACTGACTTTAAAGTCGTTTCTAACCCTCATTCACATTCCATAATAGAGGAGCTCTATAGGAGAACGCTCTATGTCCGGTTGTTTGTTTAGAAATTGTAGTTACAATGAGATTTCTGTACCATTTAAAGATTTGGTGAATGAGAATTTCATACCGTATAAACTTTCTCGGAAAACAGGAAGAGATTTAGAATTTTCTTCATCCTAAAATGCTTAGATTTGGCCTATCAGCCTTTGGGCTGGCGCTGTTGTAGAGATATGGTAGTTATTTGATCCCACAATCTGAGGGATATCACCTTTCTTATTTAACAACATTATATTTCTGTAATGTTGCTTTTAACCCATGGTGATATGGAGCCCTCACAGGTCAGAGTTCAGATAATACCGGCCCTTATGTCCCCTTGTATCTTACCAGTGTGTTGACTGCGTATGGCCTATCAAAGTCTGTCACTGGCAACAGTGATAACATGTATATCATAGTGCTTATTTTAACTTGCATATGAATCTGTTCCCCTGTCAGATCTACCCAGACGAGGGCCATTTCATCC